CTTTATCAACTAGTTTGGTTTCAATATGCACACTTCATTAAGCCAGCACACTTAAATATTACTGCCATCACACCACTGCAAGGCTAGGTCAGCCTTTCTACTAGAAAATGACATGCCGGAGATTATGGTATTTGAAAAATTCTTCATACTAAGGAATTAATATTCTACAGTTCAAAACAAATTTACTACTGTTTTCTTCTTGTTTTGCATTAAGAGAATGTTATCTGTTCTTTTTTCTTTGGCAAAGGAAAATGAGATATTGCATATACTTGATCCTTCATCTGGATTCCTGCCTTCTGATATTTAGATAAACATACTTCAATGCACCAGAAATATTTAATGTTCTGCAAAGAGCTTCTGTTCACATTTGGTAAAACTTTTGCTAACCTATGTGCAGAAGGATTCTTGTATAAGAGGAACCAGTTTGGCTTCCACATGAGCAGCTGTTAATGTAGGCACACATTCAAGCATGCAGTTGTCTGAAATAGCAGCACTCTAGATGCTGTAAGTCAAGAAGAGCCAGCTAAGGTTGCAGGGCTGCATGGCCACCCCTGTGAGATGGTGTAATCACAAGCCAGTCAAATCCTTCTCCTGCCAGGACACTTACTGGTCACTCCTCACACCTCTTACAAGCATTGGGATTGGCCTCTAAGCAGTGATTCAGGAAGGGATCACACTGCTCTGCTTCCCCTGCTGCTGTCTTGGCTCACTGCATTCATTTCCCTCCTATTTTCTGCAAACTGAATATAGCACACAACAAATTCTGTTTGAAATGTCTCCTTGGTTTTCCTTATCCACAAGGTAGCTTAAAATCACAAGTGGAAAGAACATGTCACTTGAAGCCACAGTTGTGACTTGGTCACACTTGGACTTCAGAAGAAATTCTGATTTGTTGCTTTTTAGTTATGGCAATTTCCAGATTTCCCATCCCCTTAGCAGTAATGAAGAAGTTTTGTCTCATCAAAATCATTAGGAAATATTGACTGCTTAATGTTCAGTAACAACAATAATTTACAAACTATAAATACCTACAGCAGAGCCATTGCCCAGGGTTCTGCACACAGACTGCTTCAGCTGCAACATCAGAGCCTTAGGTCTGCTTTGCATAAGGGCACAGAGTACACCAGATCACTGTCAGTCGGAGACTTCTAGTTTTCATCTCAGATTTCTCTGGCAGTAACACCCTAGGAACACTTCACTTCCCAGCAATAAATAGCTAAGGACTACCAACTACTTGCATTTGTTTCCTAATACTGTGCATTTTAAAAGTGTTCCTCCTTTGAAGCACTTGTAAGGGCAGTAGAGAAGACACCAGACAACACAAAACTTAGCTGAAGTACTTTAGCATGTTTAAGATAACAGATGCATCATAATACCTTGCAAGTGGAGGTGCAGAATTATCTCTACTACCATCAGAAATCACTTTAATAATTTTAATAGAGATTCAACTTTCATGACTCAACAGTATTTCAGCACTTAAAAGTTTACAGGGAACTACAGCTTATGAAAATGTGCAATGATGTTCGAATTCTTCTAGAAAGCTCCAAGGATGAGAAATGTAGTATCAATTCACAATAATATCTGTAACATTTTGGATCACTTAGGAAATTTTACAAAGTGTATCCCAAGTAACCAATCTACAAGGATTAATGCTGAATTTTAAGAGAACACTGAATGAAGTATTCTGACCTAATTCTCATATCATTTAAGACTTATTTTAATTACCAATTAAAATATGAATCAAGTGACAATTTAACAAAGAGCTGGCTTCAGAAACAGGTATAACTTCAGAAAAAACTGGCTTCAGAAACAAGTTCACTTGTGTGTTAGCTGAGGAATAAGTCAGTTCTGTCAAAAGTCAACTTCAGGGAACGTTTAAATATATGCTTTACTTCTGAAAATTCTGAATGCGACAACAGAAAATATTACCTCTTTTTTTGAGTTTGCAGGGTTTTTACTTCCAATTCTAGAACTACTTCTAAATGCTGCTATTGAGTTTCTGAACAAATTACTTATTTTGCATTTCTGTAACGTATTATGACCAACATATTTTGATTAGAGAGTCAACTAGATAATGAGCCCACCTACAATGCACTGCTGAGTCTTTTACTTACTTAAGATATAAAAAAGTCAGAGAGATTGGTTGACTCATGCCAAAATCAGCTGCAGACACAGAAACTGCCTAGATCTGTTTCAAAACTTTAAAGTGAAATGTTCTTTCTCTTGTGGGAGCTTTTCATGATGAAACACCTCAGTGCCAGCTCATGCCCAGTAATGAAAATACTTGTATTGTGGCAACCAGAAACAATACCTACTCATGACAGTCACACAGCAGATCAGCCCATCCTACAAACTATCAGTATGAGTGAAGACAGAAGCCCTTGAAGATTAAAATGAAATGGTACATGAACAAATTAATGAGGTAAGATGGGTGATGTTGCCATGAAGGGCACAGGGACTGCAGAGCAGCCTACGTGTATTCATTTTGCACTCCAGTTTACCTGGCACTATCTTGTCCATCAAGCTGTTTAATGACACTGGAAAAAAATCACTTCATCCCTCCATGATTGTTTTCTCTCTCACTTCCCTTTCTATTTTATCTCATTAGTCTGAGAGCAGTTTGAGACCAGAATCTGTCTTGGATTTGAAGAGTGTCTAGCAAAACAAAGTCCCAGGGATCAAGATATCTAGACACCACTGCAATCATAAATAAGAATACATCCTGCTGACCTACAGACAATCTAAACTGATCTATGTAATTATGCTGAAACAGTGACACTCCCTATGACCACAACTTCAAGAGGAAGTAGATTAAAATCCTCTTTCTGTTCCTGTAAGAAAGCCAGATTGTATTTCTTGAAATCTAGTGTACAGGAGGCAAATTCATTCTTTAGAATCAACAGCTGAATAGGAAGTTGTAGATGTTTATAGATATATTGAATGGGACAGCTGTCCTTTTTCCGTAACAGGTATATACAGAACAAACTCCTCTTTTAGTCAGACATTTATCATGTCCATATTTTGAAGAGTAATAGTCATAACACATTAAAGTTTAAACAGGGCTTTAGATTTCTTTGAGTTTAAAAAGTGATATACATAAATTTGGAACACACACTTGTGTTTTCAAACCTTTTCAATGTGCAGGCCCTAAAGTGTTTATGCATAGCCCTGTACAGCAATGTAGGAAAAGCTACATAAGGATCAAGCTTGGTTTTCTTGTTTGTATTTTGTACTCCCTCACAGGTAATCTCAAATCTCAAGGGGCCTCTAGGTCTCATGTTCCGTAACTGAAATCTTAGATAAGAGAGAAAGACAGACAGCAATACTGAAAGTAAAACAGGCAAATCTAAAGAAACCTCATTCATACCAACAGTGTGGTTTTCATTTCTCAGGGAAGGAACCTCCCTACTTCTGAAATGCTCATTATCAATGCAAAACAAACAAAAAACTCAGTAAAACTGCGTAGCATCATTATTGCTACACTAATGTAATAATAAAACAAAACATATTTACTACATATGTTTATTTGTGTTATTCACCCATACTGAGAATACAATTACAAATTATGCAGATAATACATACTGAAAGACAACATGCTTATTCCAGATACAGAGTATTATTAATACAAATGTGTTTATTCAGAGAAATAAGTGTAATTTAAGTATACTACGACTTTTTATTTCTCTGTTCATGAACAGATATACAATAACTGAAATATTCAGAAGAGGAGAATGCTCTGGATTTTTGTTTTGGTTTGCTGGGTTTTTTAAAGAGGCTTTCCTTTCTGCTGCATTGTGACTTCCAAAAAAGTATCGCTTCATTAATCTCTAACTTCAGAAATAAGAATTATTCAGAAGCAGTTTAAAATGGGGCCCAGCTCAGTGAAGCCCATGTCACACACCAAAACAAAGACAACAACCCTCTTCACCCAGACCCATAAACAAGAAAGAAAAATATACATGGTAGCAGAACAGTGAGACACAGGTGTTATGGTTTGAGGGGGCACAGGAGGTTACTTCTATCAATACTTATTGCAATTAGTTATAATTTTATAAATATTCAATATTATTTAGCAACACTTCAGGAGTTGCGAAGTAAAAAAAAATAAATTTTATTAATTAGGTTTGTAAAATTCATTTTGTTTGGGTCTTTCAAGGCAATGGCAAAAAGGGAATTAAGTGTCTAATCAGCATGGAAGGGGAGAATCTAGCTTCTTTGAAACTCCCCAACTTACTACCTAGTACCTTCCTAGCCTTCATAAAAGTTATTTTAACTGATTCATACCCCTAGGTTATTAACAAAGAGGATTTCAAAGAATAGGTCAAGATTTCATTTCATACCATGTTCCTGATAATAGCATTTAAGTACGTTTATTCTGCATACTCAGAAAATAATTCATAAGCATGTAAGTGCTGTCTGAAAACAACTGAAATGGAAAACAATTTTAGAAAGGATTCTATTAAATCAAATCTTCTCCACAAACATGAAAACAATACAATTATATGGTTCAGTCTGGTCCCTGTGGGAGGAAGTTATCCTTCATGAAATATTTCACAAAGACAACGGCCGTACAGAATTATTACATACAAAGAATACCTAGATCACTTTTTAACCACAGAAAGCTTTGCTTAGTAACACTTCAACTAAAAGGCAAAATTTTTCAGCCTAAGGCTGAGAGAACTTTATTTCCAAAGCACAACAAACAGCTTTGCTCTACAAAATTTACTTCAGGCAGGTATTAACATCAAACTAATTCGGGGAAGAAACACTGCATTAACCTAATAAATAAAGGAATGGTCTATACATTAAGCACACAGTAAAACTGGAACAATCTCTCTCTCCTTTTTTAAACTAGCAGATATGAAACTATAGGGAGGCACGAAAAGAACTATGAAGTTGCAACCTGTTACTTCTGTTTATCTGAATGCATTATTATAGTGTTCAGATGTCCTGTGGAGGACATTTAAAATAATAATTTTCTTTCAACTGAAGCACACACCAAAAAATGCAACAATAGATTTACCCATTTTCATACAGAAAATAAATCAAATTTGGATCTGTACTTGGATACATTTTTCACACTCAGGAATTTAATACTCATTATGAAAGGCCTTCTCTAATATTAATTTTTATCAACAGAGAGGATTATCTTCACATCTTACTTGCAAGTCAAGATAAGTCAGAGGTAGCTTGGGAATGCTTTAGAATTTAGTGTTTTACTTGAAATGAATGAATCCCTCTTTCAAAGGGTTTCATAGTAAGTACAAAAAGCAAACAGTATATACAGCTGCCACTGCCTGCACCAACCAAATGACTTCAAGAAGCTCAAAGTAAGATTACAACAGGGAAAAGCACAGTGCACTCACTACTTGGCATTTGCTTCAGTGCACCAGTTCAGGCTGGTTTTCTACAAAAGGAAGCACCCCACTAACATAGTATGCTATTCCCAGTGACAGAAGAGCAATGACAATGATCAGGAGCAGCACCCTCCAGAAGCCCAGGTCTTCCACAAACTCTTGCCATGTCGTACGGAAACTGGAAAGAACTCCTTCACCTTGCTGTAGGTTTGGATTAAGGAGGGAATGGCTTTCCATCGCACTATGGAGGATTAAAGTTAAAAATACATCAGAGCAAAAGAATACACCTTCAAGTATGACACTAATCCTAGTAAGGGCAACCCAAACACTCTAAATTAAAAACTAAAACCAACCTGCGAATCTATAGCATTGTCTCTGCTATATTAAAACAAAGCAGATCAGGAAAAAGACTCCTAACTCTAAAATTTAGTTAGTTGCAAGTCTTTTTTTAATAACATGTGTAAGTGGAATCATATTTATATCAGTACAACTGCATCCAGTTTGCAGGCCTGCCACACAGAAGCCTTCAAAAGTCAGTCCCCATAATTCCTACTAAATATGGCTTAGTAAAATTTAATGAAGCATAAGCTAAAACCTCAAGGGGCACAGCTCTTGTTAATAAAACAACAAAATAAGATTTAAAAATAAACTCATGAATAACATGGAAACTTTAAACAATATCATTTAGATTCTGAACTCTGGAGTCATCTTTACTACTCTTCTATGAGTCGTTGTTACAGAGGCCTCTTCTCTAGCACAAAAATATGACAGTAAACAGTAGGTTTGGATAACACCAACTTCAGAAACTTTCTGACCTACAAGACCAGTTGGCATTGCTGTATTTTCTGCCCTATGGCATTCAGCAGCTGCTTTGATGTTTTAATATTCCACTACTAATCCATTAGGCCTCCTTAAATTGTCAGACTTAAATTAGGGACTGAAACTCTCACTTCTAAATGAGAAACAAATATAAAATTAGAATGATGGCATCATCCTGACAACGAATCACCTTTGGCAAAAAGGCAAGTTGATTCGAATACTGCATGGATTCTTGTAACACTCTCCCAGTTTTGCTGCTTTCACAATTGGTTTACAATGGGAAAGTTTCTCTGTTGTTCTGCAAAAAATCCTCACAAAGAATAGGAAAACTTTCTGGCAACTTGATTTCACTTATGTAAAATTTTAGCCATCTGCACAGTCCTGCGACTTCTCACTTGAATGAAATTACATACACAGGTGTTTAAAGGATTAAGCTCCCACAAGCATGGAAAGGAAATGGTGGAACCAACTACATGCACAATTATGCCAATAGCAGAGGGTAAGAGGAGAAAGAACAGATTTTTTCCTCCCTTATAGTTACTTTCAGTTACTATATTCCTAAATATCTCTTATAGCAATAATAATAAACCAAAGCATTTCAGGGAAAAGTAATATCCAAGTCAAAAGTCAAAACCAATTGCAGAAATTCTATTGTTCTTGGTGACAGTAATAAATTGACAAATCATTGTTTTCAGAAAAAGGTCTTATTTATGAACCTTCTAAGACTACACAGCAGAAAAATTTCACACTATTCATATGGTATTTCTTCTTAGGAAGTACATCCATTGAAGAATAATTAGCCTAAACTCCCATAGCTTGCTGAAGTACTGCAGCATCTCATGAGGAAGATTTCAGAAATTGCCTATTAAACAGCTTGGGTTTTTTTTGTTTTTTAAATATTTGCCTTGCTATAAATCTATTTTTGCTTGTCCCCAGCTGTGGGATTTAGTAATCTTCCTTGCTTGTGATTTCCCAAGCAAAACAAAGGGTTTAATAAAATACAGCCACTGGTGTAGAACTACTCACTAAGTTCTAACTAGTTAATACATAACCACAGAGAGGTTAAGTAAAGGTCCAATGCAATTTAAGTAAGAAGACCACATGCTTCTTCATTAAGTAGAAAAGGGTACGTAGAAAACAATTTTGCTATTTTATATTACAACCCATTTAAAATAAACGTTTTTCACGATATATTTTCTCATTATGAATTCCAGTTGCTTAAGCACTGGCAATGCAGCAATACATTCTGCAAAAGAGCTTGTGCCACGTGGCCCAGACAGATGTTCTCTTCTGTTTCCAACACAAGGTGGAAGTTGACATTTGGCTGCACTGGTGGGCACAGTCAGAGGTCAGGCTGGGCTGGGCAGACGGACAGATGGACAGATGACCTGTGCTGAGGGCCGGGCAGAGCGAGCGCAGCCGCTGCCAAGGGCAAGAGGAAGGAACTCCAGAACCCGGCTCTGCACCCTGCTGCCTGGGCAGCAGCAACTCTATACAATAAGGAGCAGAAAACTTAAGTCTGAGGCAGTTTTTAGAAAGAGCAACCACCATTTCTCCATAGGTTCATGCATAATGTAAGAGAGTCGGGGCAGGGAAGGGGACAGAAGACATTCATCTAAGTGTCTCTAAAATGTGAAAACAATACTAAGAGGGAGGAGTGAAACTGTGGAGGTCTGAAAGCCCAATTGTTACAAAGACATTATTTATTTAAGAGTAAACAGCATACAAGCTCACTTGCTTTTGCTGCTGTCGGCATCTGTTACTTGTTATTTTTAAAATAATGTATTTCAGACATTTTAAACACCTTCACAAACAAGCTGGGTAGTGCACTGTTTATCTCTCTGTGCCTTTCCCCAAGGAGAGTTGCTGACTTCCTTGCCAAAGCAAACAATATAACATTTATGAAGGTCAAATAACAGAAAGGAAGCTATGCTCATTAAAGGGAAACTATCAAATAAAAAACTGGAATTTAAATGGGGCTGAGCCGTTGATCCATATGTTTAAACAAAAACAACATAAATGCATTTCTGTGTGACAAGCAATGTTCAATAAATTTAATCTAAGTAGAAATACGGACAAATTCTACTAATTTATACCCATATGATTTTGAGAATAACATTAAATTTTCTATTTCAGGGCTTAAAACGGTCTCTCTGATGAGTGGAGTCACCTGATGTATAAGAATGAACTTCCAGTCTGGTCACTGGGAGTATTTTGCATGATTTCTGTAATTTTGTTGGTTTCCACCTTTTCTGTTTACTCAACTTAGATAACAACTCTATCCATACAGTTTAGTTCTCATTTAAAGTGAAGGCAGTGTACATTTTGACATAAAGTGAACAACAATCACAAGGCAAAAACCTTCTGTCTCTTATGATGTGATGTTCCAGCAGTCACAGGTCACAGACAACGTAAAAAATAACAAATTTTAATACATTCAGTGTAAGAGCAACTATTCCAAACAGTGTAGATATCCTATTTCAAATATAAATTGAAAAAAAAAAAAGAGTACTGGAAAAATCTCTTGCATTATTAATCTCAGTCTCATGTTCTGCCTTGTCTACTGGCAATTCAATGGTTCCTGCAAGAGAATTAGCGTCCTTTGAAACTTGCCAAGATTCTTGCTTCACCTAAATCCTACAAGAAGGCTTTCTTGGAAGCTCATTGCAAACAACCACTCAATTCTAAATCAAAATGTATTTGTATTTTATCTGTACCCTTTGGCTCTCGTACTATCATCAACCTTTGTCTCAGTTTTTTCATGTTATTCAAAACCAGTATTTCTTGTCAGCAACCATACACCCCTCAGTCTTCACCAAGCTAACATGAGTTCTAGTTGCCTCCTGTCACCAGGAGACTTTTTGTTCCCTGGAGCTCTGAAGCAATACTTTTCCATATTTCTTAAAGGATAAATTCAGCTTTTTTCGAACAGAGCTAAACAGCATTAAAAAACCTACTACACAGCAGAAGTTACCAGTGCTTCTTAGAATGCCACTGACAGCTTTCTTCACATAGAGGGAATACCTGATTTTGCACATTCTAGGACTTCACTGCCTTTTGTAGGGTAGCATCATGGAGGAGGGTAGCAAATGGAGTTGCATTTTGTGCTACTGAATCACAATTAATTTCTAATAATTTCCTCTCCCTTGTCATCCCAGATTTTTGTCTACACCATCCCAATCTTCCTCTGGGTTTCCTATACCTCACTTCTAGTATTACTAACATGCTACTACAGCAGATCTATGAAATTTATGAAAATTATAAGTAAAGTCTCAGAACCAAACCTTCACAAATTCATTAGCAACTTTCCTCTAATCTAGTATGTTCCCTGAAATTGTCAGCAATTTTTCTGAAGTCATAATTTCTCTTTTCTCCTTAGCTACCATGAAATTCTCCTTTTATTCTACCTTTTTCAGGACTGCTGCCAATAGAAATTTCATATATGGCACAATATCAAAACCTTTATTTAAGTTCAGATAGATGAAAAGTCTGCTATCCCTTCTTTGCACAGACAATCCATCTTACTGAAAGGATATTAGGATATCCTGTGACACTGGCATTTTGCATTTCAGCCCATTTTCCCCTTGACTTTGTGATAAGTGGTAGAATATTTATTTTTGAGAATCTTTAATGGAAAACTAGTAACTATTTTTTTAAATTTCCACCATAAAGTTAAATCTCAATAGAAAAAATTCTTTTATTCTTACATTTGATCTGTTTACAGAGATTTTTTCAAGATATAAATTTGATTTTGATTTGAGCTGATAATACTAGGCCAAATGTGATATTGTCTGTTTTGAGGAACAGGCAAGTCAATCACAAAAATCTAAAAGCCATAAACATTATTTCTGCTGTTAATTATTTTTGTTTTGTAAATACCTTTCACTTTCAGCAGTTTGCATCGTTTCCAGCTTTGAGTGAGTTCCTCTGTTAAATCCTTTCACCTCCTGCTCCTCTAAAGATTCCAGAAGTCTAATCACATCTTTATTCACACCCCTTCGTTTTGCAAGAACAAGTGGTGTTGCACCTTGGTGGTTGCTAAAATAAGCCCACAAAGGACACAAGAAGAAAAGAAACACTGAATTTAGAAATTTTGTAACACAACTCAGCATAACACATTGCAATTCAGTAAGTCCTCAGAACTATTTTCTGTCACAGACAGTAAGAAATCTACGCCATTTACAGTATAACTAACAATGTAAGAAAATCAATGTATTTAGGTTTGAAGTTGCACAATTCTTTTTCCTCTAAACAAAATAAAAATTTCTAGTACTCTAATAGATTTGCAATCTCTGGGTGTTATAAGAAATAATAAACACTAGATTTATGGCAATGTTCGAGATTAAGCTTTATTTCAAGAAGGAATTGTGCAACCTGGCTCCTTGCAGAATATCAGGCAAAAATGAAATAAAGTACAAATGGTCCTTCTGCTACTACTAAAACAGGACCAGAGCTGCCTTCAGACTAGGAATTTTCCCCAGAGTTGTTTGAAATGAGAAAAAACCCAACAACCCACAACTCATAAACAATCTGGACTGCCAATAACTAGTTTTGCCGAGTTAAAAACATCAATGAGCAACAAGTGAAAAAGGGCCAGATTTAAAAACTCAAAAGGTTTTGAAGTTACTACTGTTTTTTGCACACATCATGAATATGCAGAAAGTTCCACAAACAAAATAATTAAGTTTCTGCAATGAAACAGCTGGTTATTTTGCAGCTTGAGAGTTTGCATCTGAGCACTGGCATCTGACAGCTGCTGGAAGCCAGAAGGAAAGAATACACAATATTTAGAAGAAGGACTGAGTCACAGACTTTGAGGGAGGGGGAAAACACTGAAAGGAAGCATTGTTACCAAAGGAGTAAGGGAATGAACTGACACACACATACACTGCATTTCCTTTGTCTTATCCAATTAAAACAATAGAACTGTGGTGGAGAAAATTCTTTTCAAGTAGTCCATGTGACTTTTTTCTTTGGTGCAAACCACCCACACCTGGCTGTCTGGCCAAACCAGGGCAGTAATGTCATCAGTGAGGCAGAATTAGATACAGCAGCCCACATCAGCAGCTGCTATTTTTATTTGCATTACTTGTTGCACAGACTAGCAGAAGTAACTTCTTATTGTTTTCCTGCCTTCTTATTTTGTGTTTTTATTAAGTAATATATTTTAAAAGTCGAATTGCACCAAATACAGCATTTCAGCAATGAAAGATTTATATGCAAGGCTCTGGCAGCAGCAGACTAATATTGTACTATATTAAAAAAAAAGAAATAAATTAACTTACCAAATATCAATTTTAAGTCCATTAGAAACCAGGAACTGGATGGTATCCACATGGCCACACAGGTGAAGGGCTGTGTTACCTTGGTAATCAGTGGCTAGTAAGTCAGCACCAAATTTATGCAAGAGTTGACAGATGTCTACATTTCCCCTGGCTGCAGCAAGGTGAAGGCCAGTCCGGCCTCGGCTGTCACGAATATTTGGGTCAAACCCACTCTCTAGCAGTCGCTTGGAGTAGTTAAAGTCTCCATCAATGCAAGCCTGCAGCAGCGGCACATTTGTCTGGGAAGAGTCGTTGACAAAAACGTAGGACATTGTCCTGATTGTCTCTGGAGTAGATGACAAATCTGCAAGTAAAAGTGGAAAGAAACGATGGTGGAACCAGGCAAATAAAGACAATGCAAATATTCAGTAGACTGCTCAGATTTCCAAAGAAGGAGGCAAACTAGCTTATAAATGAACTTTTCAATCTTCCTGTCGTACATATTAACTTTGTGTGCTGCGTTCCCTTCTGGTAATATGGAAAGAGCTCCTTTTAGTCTTACTTCCACCTCTGGAAACAGCAGCAGAACTTTGTTATTAGAGAAAACACACAAATGCAAGACAGATGATGAATTTTCACCGAGGAAGAGACCGCATATAGTAGTACTGATATTAAAGAGCAAAACAGGGTAGATGAGAACTGAAAGGGAGAAGGATCACCTTTCATAAACTGGGAAACTATAACAATACAGTTAACAGGTGTAGTGACAATAACTGCAATTCCTACTAGCTATAAGCAAAGCTACTCCACTGGGATTTCTACCATCTGAATCTGAACTTTGATGCAGAAAATACAGTCAGTTGCTGAAAACTCTTGATTACTATAAAAAACAATTCCTTCATTCTGCAAGAAGTATTCAATACTTTTTCCAGAATATTATTTTTATAGTACCATAGATACATGAACAAGAATAGCAATACAGACCATACAAAACTGAGTGTATAATGTGAAATTGTTCACCTGAAACTGAAAACTGGAAGGACAAGGAGGACAATGGTAAAATCAAGTATGAAGCTACTATGGGTTCAACTAGAACCCCGCTATATAGAGAAACAAAAATGTAGTTTCCTTGGCTTGATATTAAATAAAGGATTAAGTCTTTTTCTGTATCAGGACCTAAAAGAAAGATGGATGTTGTTTCACCATGGATTTCTTGATACAGAATATTTAATGAAGTATGATTTAACTTTTGTAGAAGAATAGTCTAAGGATGAGTCAAATAATGAGGGTATGATGACAGCGTGTGCTTATGAGACACAGAAAATAAGACTTGAAAACACAAAAGGAATAAAGAGAATGACTATGCAAGGAGATGGTAGCATGTGCATGAGGGAAAAGAAACAAAAAGATCTAGGAGACTGGACAGCAAAGCTTTGCACTGCCCCAGAGGAGGCAAAAAAAGAAAAAAATGTAAACCAGTAAAAATCCTGAGAAGAAACTTCAATACAAAATAACGCATTTCAAGTGACAGGAAGGAAAAGTGATTTTACCAGGTAAGCTTTGAATGGAAACTGAACTGAAACTTCACTTGAAGCAGTATCTTTCACTTGCCCAGGGTTTGTATTTTGGGCTCATGATGTACTAGTGCTCCGATTAACTATCTGAACCTCTTATTAAAACTCCTACATGCAGATTTAAATTTTCTCATCTATATAAGGTATCCTTCTACAATAGTGCACTCATTCAGACAGGAGAATGGAAACATGGCCAGAAGCCAAAAAATTAGATTTAAAATATCTCTTTTTTTTTTGAGGGTTTATGTCTATAGCTCTTCCTTCATGTTCTAGATCAAATTCAAGATAAAAGTACCTACAGAATTAATTTTAAAAATTTACACACAGGTCTGATTAACAGCAGTAGCATTTGTGGCAGATGAGATTAATGAATCATATTTAAACTTCGCTAGTTTGTAATTTTTATCTGGACAAATTCTGCTACATGTATCAACACTGTCTAGTTTCCCAGTGCAGGAATGAAAACTTTTTTTCTTCTTTGGACACAGAAGAGAAAGAGATAGGAGCAACTTCTACGTGCTGGTATCTGTACAAGGAATGATTTTAAGCAGAGTACATTCCCCTAGGCTGCAAGTATGTTTCTAAGCACATTATGAAGTATCACTGGCTCAAGCACCCTTTTCCATAATCATATGAAACAGCAAAAGGTCAGTTATTTGAAATGTAAAATTATGAAATGTAAAACATTTCATTGGTAACTACTGTCATTTAGGGTACTACCAGCTTTGCTATAATCCTACACAAAAATAAATGTACAATATACTTACTCATATTTCCAGTAACTATGTTATAAAACCCCTATATGTTGCACAACTAGGATTCTCAGTTGTCAGTAATTTCAGTTTTCTTGCTCATTTCCCACCCAAATCATAAATGATACAAGAATCAGTTTTCAACTCTGCTAGTCCAGCCTTTGCTGAGAAAAATAGTGGGCCAAACTTCTGTACAATGTGACTTTGGACTTTATACTCTGCTCTAAATCTTCCCTAAAGCAAGATCATAAATAATTTAAAAACCTCCAGTTATCAGCCATAGTAACAGCATATCAACACCACAGAACCCTGCTTGTACTTGATAACAAGATGGTGGCTCATTTGTAAAATAATATGAGAGTATTTAAACCTGTTTAAAAAAACAAGGCCTAACATAAATGGAAAACTGAATATCATAGTGGAAGAGATGTATCCTATTTGAGAAACAGCATGGCATGCCTTGTTAAACCTAAGCTAATGTTTGTATTTTCATGCCAGTGCTGTATGTCTGGTAAAGCCTTACAGAATTCCCCATCACTTCACATACAATTCTGATTAAACATTAACTAATAATATCAGAAAAAAATCCTCACTGCCCTATCTTCTCCAGAAAGGAAGCACAAAGATTAGCAGCTATCAGAAAGTGTAACTGGAAGTAATTCTGATTCAGAATTTACTACCACTAGATTCTTAGAATTGATCACTGAAGTGTAAAAGACTAAAGTGAAATCTTAGTACTTCACAGCAAGCAAGGAAAAAAACCCAAGAAATCCTGCTTCCCAACTCTTAAGATTGTGGACTAGGAAAATGCATTCACAAAAAACCAACCAACCAAAAACAAACAAACAAACACACAAAAAAACCAGTCTAGACTATCTGGTTTGACTTTTCCTTGTGATTAAAACAACTTTTTCCTACAAATACAACCCTATCTCAGACATGGCTTCCTAACCTATGACAGATACAAGCTGCCTACAAAGCTGAACTACACACCATCTTTAAAATGCCAGTCCCCAAATGATCTGTTCTTGCCACAAATGTAACCAAATTTAGCAAAACTTCCCCTTTAATAGTCAACTTAATTGGTTTTTTTTTTAGTAGACAAACTATGGTTACATTTATGTTACATTATGTTGCTGGTCAACATTCAAGGACCACTTCTTGCAAGCACAGGATCAGAGCATCCCAATGGTTAGGAAATCTAGTAAGGGTGCTAGGAGACCTGCATGGTTAAAAAAGGAACTACTGGGCAAACTTAAGTGGAAAAGGAAAATCTACAGATCATGGAAGGAGGGGCTGGTCACGTGGGAGGAATATAGGACTGTTGTCAGAGGATGTAGGGAGGCAATTAGGAAAGCTAAGGCCTCCTTGGAACTTAACCTTGCAAGTCAGGTTAAGGATAATAGAAAGGGCTTTTTCAAATACATAGCTAGCAAAACTAGCACTAGAGGCAATATTGGCCCACTGAGGAATGAGGTGGGAGCCCTGGTGACAGAGGATATAAAGAAGGCAGAGGTGCTGAATGCCTTCTTTGCCTCTGTCTTTACTCCTGCAGGGTTTCCCCATGAGCCCCAGATTCATATAGCCCCAGAAGAAGTCAAGATAAAGGAGGAGTTTGACATTAGGAAAGCTAAGGCCTCCTTGGAACTTAACCTTGCAAGTCAGGTTAAGGATAATAGAAAGGGCTTTTTCAAGTACATAGCTAGCAAAACTAGCAATAGAGGCAATATTGGCCCATTGAGGAATGAGGTGGGAGCCCTGGTGACAGAGGATATAAAGAAGGCAGAGGTGCTGAATGCCTTCTTTGCCTCTGTCTTCACTCCTGCAGGGTCTCCCTATGAGCCCCAGATTCATATAGCCCCAGAAGAAGTCAAGATAGAGGAAGAGTTTGACATGGTAGATGAGGATTGGGTTAGGGATCAGTTGAGTAATCTGGACATCCATAAATCAATGGGTCCAGATGGAATGCACCCAAGGGTGCTGAGGGAGCTGGCGGAGGTCATTGCTAGGCCACTCTCCATCATCTTCAGTAAATCATGGGCAACAGGTGAGGTGCCTGAGGACTGGAGGATAGCAAATGTCACTCCAGTCTACAAGAAGGGCAAGAAGGAGGACCCGGGTAACTATAGACCGGTCAGCCTCACCTCCATCCCTGGAAAGGTGATGGAACAACTTGTTCTTGTGACTATCTCCAGGCACATCAAGGACATGGGGGTCATCAAGAGCAGTCAGCATGGTTTTATCAAGGGTAAATCATGTTTGACTAACCTCATAGCCTTCTATGAGGAAATTACTAGGTGGATAGATGATGGTAGAGCGGTAGATGTGGTTTATCTTGATTTCAGTAAAGCATTTGACACCGTCTCCCACAGCATCCTTGTGGATAAGTTGATCAGGTATGGGTTTGGTGACCAGGAAGTGAGGTGGATTAGGAACTGGTTGAAAGGAAGGAGTCAGAGAGTTGTAGTCAATGGGGTAGAATCTGGTTGGAGGTGTGTTACTAGTGGAGTCCCACAAGGGTCGGTGCTGGGACCGGTGTTGTTCAACATCTTCATCAACGACCTGGATGAGGGTATAGAATGTACCCTCAGCAAGTTTGCTGATGACACTAAGCTGGGAGGAGTGGCTGACACACCAGAAGGCTGTGCTGCCATTCAGAGAGACTTAGATAGGTTGGAGAGTTGGGCGGGGAGAAACATGATGAAATTCAACAAGGGGAAGTGCAGAGTTTTACATTTGGGGAAGAACAACACCATGTCCCAGTACAGGTTGGGGGCTGAACTGCTGGAGAGTAGTGTAGGTGAAAGAGACCTGGGGGTCCTGGTAGACAGGAGGATGACCATGAGCCAGCAATGTGCCCTTGTGGCCAAGAAGGCCAATGGCATCCTGGGGTGCATTAGAAAGGGTGTGGTTAGTAGGTCAAGAGAGGTTCTCCTCCCCCTCTATTCTGCATTGGTGAGGCCACATCTGGAGTATTGTGTCCAGTTCTGGGCCCCTCAGTTCAAGAAGGACAGGGAACTGCTTGAAAGAGTCCAG